GCAGAACCAAAAATAGTTCTGCAAAGCTCCTTTATTTTTTTCAGAGTGGGTCCCAGTCGGACTGGACACCCAGCCGGACTGGACACCCAGTCGGACTGGACACCCAGTCGGACTGGGTATGCAGTCCGACTGGGTATCCAGTCCGGCTGGGTGTCCAGTCCGACTGGGACCCAGTTCACCAGTCAGAACTGGGACTGGTGCATCTCTAATTGTCGAGCTTGATGTTTTGAACCACCAAACCAGTTAGCAATACGATCACGACCCCAATCCGGTGGTAACATAGTCATAAGTCGTTGTTGTTCGTAATTGCCACTGATATTAAATAACTCGCGTAAATGACGTAAAATCCAAACAGCATCATCAATTGAAAGACCAAGTGTGTTAAACGTTTCGGGTTCTACATGACGGCGAGAAGATGGTGCAAGTGTATTACTCCATTTCAGAAGTGTAAAATATGTTTCATCCACAGCATTCGAGACCTGGTTTGTCTTACGACTGTAAAAAAAATTCTGCGCCTGATGATCCACAAAAAAAAACAACTTACAAATCATTCACTTTCTTCACATTTACAAATTCAAACACTTGATTTAATTGTTTTTGAACATCTAGTAGTTCATGACGTGCACAATCATCATCCATTGGAGAATCTTGTTTAGAATCTGGACCACAATCAACTTTTTTTATAGTCGCAACTTTCTTGTTCATCGTCAATCTGCATAATTACTGAGTGATCAATCTTCCAACAATTTTCTTCTTTTTCGAAACATGTTGAGCATAGGTAATCACCTTCTGAAAGTCGTTCTGAATTTCCATTTAAAATCGCTTCATTATGATTGTTAATGTATTCCGCTAATTCCTCGTTGATTGATCTTTTTCCTTTAGGATGTGTCGGATTAGATCCAGTTTTCCAAAAGAGTTTCTTTCCATCTGGTAATACTTCATCATGACAAGGATGAACACACCAAATTCTTGATTTATGTGGCATAAGTAAGAGTATGTTTGACAGAAGAAAAAAAGTGTTGATACGATGAACAAATATCAGAATGATATATCATATCAGGCATGCCAACGGACCCTTAATTTTAAGGAGGCTGTGTCCACATAATTTGTGAACTATAGTTCACAAATTACGTGGACACATCCTCCTTAAAATTAAGGGTCCGTTGGCATGGCTGATCATATGAATCATGAGATATGCGTTCACCAATCAGCTATTTTTTCCAATAAAGAAGAGCCTCCGTTCTTTAAAACATAATTATCTCATCGCTTCATATTTTATCCAATCAAAACACATGCCCACAACAGTTAAAGTATGACCAACAATCATGCACTTACAAAAAGGTGTAACAACAGTACTTAGGCATGTGCACTTATACAGATCAAGGCACTAACATGTGATACTTTTCAATAACTTTTTCTTCCTGAGTTAAAAGTTGCGAAGAAAACTAATTAGTACATGTTGTAGAAATAATTATGATCTATCGAACCAATAATTTGCTCATGTTAGAATATTTCATTTTTTAATTAGTATTTAGTCGTTTTACATTCAACTGCATCAGACAGGGCAAACTATAGTTTCAAAAAGAGATTACATGATTGTTTAAGGATTTGCAAGGTCATATATTTCATAGGTATTTTCATGTAATTTTTCACGCTAAGTCTGATTAAATGATTGCACTCTAGGTTTAAGTTAAAACAAAGCCGTTATCACTTTCACTTTTACAAAAAAATCAATTTTTTTAGGCATAATATCGAACAAGCAGAAATGCATGTGTATCGTATTTCGCCTATATGTTCACGAAAATAGAGTCAAATATTCAATCATTCAATACGAAAATGATCAGCTCAAAAAACTCTACAAGTTCTGCAGAGTATCAATAAATTCAGACCTGCTAATCCAAGTATTTCACCGGTTTTGAAGATCAGGTTCACTAAAACTCACTGAGGAAATTGTCATCAAAAATAGTTTTGATGCTCGTACGCTACCAAATTGCAGTCGGGGAGAAAGATAAATAGCGTACGTTGTAGAGCAAGAGCTGCTCTATCGAACTAGCTACGCCACCATTTCCGTTCATCCCGACTTTCTGATCAACTTTTTTGAAATACTGTTGGTCAGAAGCACGTGACAAAATCAATCAGTAATTTTCAAAAGGAGTCTAAAATTCATAGTCAGTCTGAAGCAGTTTTTCACGAGGAATCTGAATATGCCATTGGTTTTAAAATCGGAGCGAGAAATTATGTCCTAACGTTTGTACTTTCATTAGAGGATGACCTTTATTTTTACCAAAATCTTGAAAGTCTCAAAATTGTATTTGATTCATATCTCTGTGATAATGAGGTTTAAACCTAAATATTTTTTTATCAAAATGATCAGCGCAAAATTCTCTACAAACTCTGGAAGTTTGAAAGGATTCTGACATGGTCACTGTATGAGCTGGCGACTTCCCATGGATTCACTCTATAAGAAAATGATTGACACATCATTTTTGACTCAGATGATGTGCATGTAAGATCTAACACTTCTATTATAATTCGGTTTATAAGTTTATAGTTCTTGCTTTTTTTTAAAATATCTCGTCATTGATTTCCTCATCAATCTACATGAAAAAATTTACATAATATCTACCTTGCATTCCTTTTTGAAACATTGATTTGAATTACTAATTTTCCTGTTTCTTCTGAAGTAAATGTGATATTTTTCTTCATATTAATGGGTGTTGTTTGATCTGTATCCAAGAGTCAAGAAAAATGTCACAAAGTGACTGAGATAGCGATCTTCATCATTTTTAATTCATAAAATAATTGTTCATTCTTTGATCAAACCATACGCAAAGGAGAATATAATGATATCGTTAATAGATTAAAATTAAATGAAAAGTATTTTATGTACTTCAAACTTTTGCTCTTATAACATATGATATCATTATTTCAAAATTCCATAAATGAGAAGATCCTTAGGTTTTTTTTGCAAAGATAATTGTCGTTTACTATGGACAATTTTTCATCAATAATTAATATGATCTTCAGTATCTGTTTATCATTTTATTGATTGAGAAACTTGAAAAACAATTTAATATAAGAGAAAATAACATTGGCAATCTGAACATATTGGACCTATAAAAAGACAATTAATTCTAGGATCTTTCATGTAAATGCAGATATTTTTAGCCTAAATTAATCAAGAGGAAGAAGGTTCGACATTATCACCTACGATCGAAAGAACATTCGAAACATTCAATAAAAAAGTGATTAGGTAATTTCCGAATAACGGGTGGGGCAAAAGTTTTGCATTAATTTTGTTTTCGATATAACTCTGCAACGCAATGTCGTAGAGACCTGATTTTTTTTTGTTAAAAAGAGCAAAGTGTCTAGTGCAGGAATATATAAAAGAATTTGATTGGAAATGTTTTTCGAAAACTACAACAATCTTAGAACAGAAGGCGTTGGAAAACTCTTCCGCAACTTTTTTGAACTTATAAAAAAATTCCTATAAATAGACAGGTTATCTTTTTATTCGTCTAAGCCGGATTTTATAATGTAACGATAGAGCACTATTGCGTTACAAAAAAAGAAATTTTTTACATGTTTTATAACGGTCGAAATGAACGCTTTTATGGTATCGTCTGTGTCATCAATTTTTCATCATTGTTGGTAGCAGTCAAAAAAATAAATCCTATTTCGCAGGAGAGATTGCTAGAAGCTATATATTTTATATGAAAAAGAAAGTTTATTAAGTCCTCTACCAAACGATATTATTTGGAATAGGACGCAACTTCTCTGTGAGATATTCAGAAAAAAACTTATTTTCACGCTGCAAAACCAAATTCGAACAATTAATTTATTTTTATCAAAGAGTCTTTTGTTCATTCTCTTGTATGTTATACTAATTATTTTAATACCAAATGAAAACCTCCGTTGCAATGAACAACTGTATATATAAGGTGCTTGAAAGTGTCGAAAGTGGCTAATGAAAAAGGCCCAAACAAATATTTTTGGATTAAAAAAATGTGACCAAAGTTGCGGAAGAGTTTTTCGGAGCCTTATGTTCTAAAACTATTGTGGCCTTCGAAAAACGTTACAAATCAAATTCTTTTATATATTTTTGCACTAGACACTTTGCTCTTTCTAACAAAAAAAATGAAGTCTGTACGACATTGCGTTGCAGCATTATATCAAAAACAAAATTAATGCAAAACTTTTGCCCCACCCGTTAGTTCCCAAACTTCCAACTTCTTAAGGTGTATGGTATTCGTTCAAACTCAAGTAGAACCAAATATAGTAATGCACTGATGCCTAATAAAAAACGACATCTGTGTTTGTGTACAAGATCATAGAAATAATTTATTTTTTTGCCAA